ACACCCCTTACACTGAGGACATGTCTGATACTGTCAGGATTACTGTCACGCGCGCGCTCACACACCCAGGCTGCCAGGTCACAGGTGTCAGACTCGGACAGTCAAGTCAGACCGGCGGGCTCAGCTCACAATATACGAACCACTTTGTGTTTGATGGACGTAAGGGCGACAACAAAACAAACTCTCTCTAGGGCGTACTACGACGCCCTTGATGGACACGGTCACGGACGTGGCGTAGCGCTCCCACCGTCCGGAGGGCGGCACGAGCTGCTGGGCTGACGCGGCGTAGCGCCTCCGCCGTCCGGAGGGCGGCACGAGCTGTTGGGCTTAGATTATCCCTTGGAGGTGCGGGCCGCTCTCATTCCGGCGCAGACCCGGTGGGCATACGCGGTTGCACCAAGCCGCAGTGACATTGTAGCGCGTCATGTCGCTCCGGAAGCGCCGCTGGACGGCCGCGTACAAAGCCTGGTCATACGGGTCACCCTCCTGTTTGACCTTCCCCAGAATCTGCGCCTTGGTTCTGGCGCTATGGCGGCCGGGCTTTGCATTCTCCAGCTCGCCACCGACGCACCGGCCTCCAAACATCGCGTGGAAGAGGCAGATGGAGAGGCGCCACTCGGATGTGAGCCCGACGTACGCAAACGACTCGAGGCGCTTCAGCGCGGCGCTGACGTTGGGCACCTCCGTCAAGTCGCACAGGGCGTATCCACTGTTGCACTCTTCGCCGGACGCTTGGCCACTGAGCATCTTGACGGCGGTGCCGCGTGCGCGTCGCGCATACTCAGAGGCATTCAGCTGCGCGTTCGCCCGCTCCTTTCCAAACCACGCGAAGGCCGAGGCGACGCGTGAGACGGGCTCGCGAAACATGCCGAAGAAGTTGCCTTGGAAGAGCTGATGCGCCTCGTCACTGATCGCGTCGTGGCCGGCGAATCAGATTGCTTGCCCCTTGGACCAGAACGCGCACGGGTCGCGAGCGACCTCGTGCAGGAGCGTTCGGTCAGTGTGGGCGCGCTCACAAAAGGACTTATTCCGCGGCACATTTCGATGTCCAAGGGCATGGTGCCCGAATGCTCGCAGACAGGAAAGCCGATGCTGAGCGCAGCCTTGGATTGTGCGCATGAAGGAGCGTTGCTCCGAACGAAGTGCCCGCCTTGGGTACGTGCACCCACGCATAGCGGGGCATGATGCGGGCCAAGTCGCATTTCGAGCGGAATGCCTGAATGTACTCGGTCTCCCTGGTTTTGGCCGCTTTGCGCAGCACTTGCAGCTGGCTGTGGAGGGAGCGCTTGGGTATGCTGTTGTTTGGAGGGAGGCTAGTATTTGAATGGAGGCTGCTGAAAGAACTGTACAGCTCCTGCTGGACGGAGGGGCAATGCGCAATCACGGCTGCAGCAACAGCGAGAGAGGCGGCTGCGATGCCGATCACGATCGTCACCGCCAGCATTGCCTACCGCCTGACGGACTGCGCCGCATCCTCGGTGGAGCGAGGCTGAGCGAGCCATCGAGAGGGGACGCAGAAACTAAGTCAGTTGTTGTGAGGACGTTGCCCACTGTCTGACTCGCAAATGACCTGTCAACACTTGGCGGGCAAAAAAGTAAAAGAAAACGTTGAGCCTCGGCGTACGAGGTATTTATTCTTCAAAAGAATGAAAGCAAGTAGCATGTCTGACTGTCACTGTGCGAAATCGCACCCCGCGGTTGTGCGTTTATGTGAACTTTTACTTTTGCTCGCCTTCCCTGGGACGCTGTGTCTCTTTGTTGTTGTTTGTTTGTGTGCGAGAGAGAGATTTTTAGCAATACCAAACAAATCTAACACTCACGCGTCATTTGGGGCCTGGAGGCCTGTTCACGCGCGCGCGAGACGTGCAGACAGGGTTGCCAGGTGAGAGCGAATGGCGCGGTTCACGCCTTGGACGTTTGTTTTGTTTGCGTGCGTGACTGTCTCTATGCGATTTCGGGCCCGGGGTTGTGCGTTTATGTGAACATTCCCCGCATCCCCAGGGCCTCCAGGGCTCGCACCTCATCCTCTCACAGACCAGCGCACAGCGCGCGGACGTATTTTCTTCTCGAGAACAAGGCTGTGAACGAGAAAAACAGCTGAAGGGTCGGCAAGGACGACACAAAGGAGCAGCGCGGCATGGCTCAGCAGCAGCGATTTATCTTCATCTTCTCGACCGCTTCGGGACACACCAATCCTTCCTTCCCAATCGCTCGTCACCTCGTCAAGCGCGGACACAGCGTGACGTACCTCTCGTCGAGCAATTTCCGAGCAGCCATCGAGGCGACTGGAGCGGTTTTTGTCGACGAAGCCACGGTCCTGACAGAATTCTTCCAGGCCGCCGACAACTATTCGGCGGCATCCCAGGCGTTGATGGCGGAGTTTGGGTGCGAATCGATGCCGTTCCACCTGCAGAACCTCAAGCTTGGCAACGTCAGAATCGAGCGGCAGCTGCCCGGTCTTCTGCGCTTTCTGAACGAGGGCGCGTACGATGCGGTGGTGTACGACCCTCTGATGCTGCCCTCCGCCACCCACGCGTGCAGCCTCCTCAGCATTCCAGCTGCGGGTCTGTTCACGGTCGCTGGCCCAGGCGCCATCGAGGCGTTCCTCAGCGACGCGGTCAGCAAGGCGGGCATCGGCCTGGAGGACCTCGACCGAGCCTACTTTGAGGACGAGGTCAACACGGCTGCCATGCTGCGGCTGCGCGAGCGCTACCCAGGGATCGCGCTGCCAAAGGAGCGCCCCTTCTCGCTGCCGGTGAACAACTGCTACCTCGGAGGGCCCAAGGCGGCGACGCTGGTGACAACGATTGAACCGCTGTGCGACGCGGTGAGCGAGCGGACGGCGTCAGCGCTCGATGAGGCCAAAGTGACCTTCTTCCACATTGGTCCCAGCCTGGACGTCGAGGGCGCGGCTCGCGCAGGCGGCTTCGTCTTTAGCAAGAAGGAGGAGCAGGTCGCACCGCCAACGCTGCACCGGCACCGGTCGGACGTGCAAGACACCGGCGACTCGGCCCTCGCCGCCGTGAGGCAGGCCAAGGAGTTGGGCGTCCCGGTGGTGTACGTCAGCCTTGGAACCGTCCTGACCTCGGACCTGCCCACGGTTGGCTGGGAAAGCCGCGAGGCGGACGGCGAGGGCAAGGCCTTTGGCATCACCGGCAAGCAACTGGTGCAGAGCGTCTTTCGCGCGGCCTTCGACGAGTTTGGTGCGCCCGAGGTTGCGGAGGCGGGGCGAGGCAGCTTTACCGAGGCGTGCAGCAATGGCGCGCCGCTGATCGTGTGTAGCACCGGCCCGCAGCCAGACGCGCTCGACGGGCTGGCCGTCCCTCCGAACGCCGTTTGCCGCAGTTACATCGCGCAGGTCGACCTCCTCTCCTCGGGCGCTGTGAGCATGTTCGTGACGCACGGCGGCCAGAACTCCTTCACCGAGAGTATGGCCAAGGGCGTCCCCCTGGTCGTCGTTCCCGGATTTGGCGACCAGCCCGTGAATGGCCGCAAGGCCGAGAGCTTGGGCTTGGGCCTCGCTGTCCCGCGCCCCAAGGAGGACGGAGACGCCGTCCTTTCCGAGTACGTGCGCGACCTGCGCCAGGCGATGCGCGGCGTGCTTGAGGGCGACTCGTACCGCGCAAAGGCGCGGGAGATGGCGGAGGCCATTCGCGGCGCGGGCGGGGCGGAGAGGGCGGCGGAGATTGTGATTGGCCTCGCCGAGGCTGGGCGAGGCCGTCCCCACTGATTAGTTTGATCGTACAGGGGGCGCTGAACGCGCTGTGGCGGGAGAACCGGCCCCACCGCATGCGGGCGGCTCGCTGGCGTCTGGGGCACGGTGTCGTGACTCTCTCTCCTCGCTCGATCTGCGTGCTTTTGCGCTGTGGCTCACGACGCGGCAACGCGATGGGACGCTGCGTCGAGCGTGGCGCGTTGTGGCGTTCTCGTCTCGGTTCTCAGAACGATTCTCAGAACGCAGAATGGTTTGTAGAAGGGCGGCGCGGTGGCGAGCGAGCAAGCGCCGCGCCGCGCAGCCCGGACTACGCTCGATCTGCGTGCTTTTGCGCTGTGGCCGGACACACTGACCATATGATATCGGTCACCCATTGCAAAAGTTGGAGCGAAAGAAATGTGGTATTTCTCACGCTCTGTGGGTCGGTAAAAAGTAGCGACACCCAAGTGTACAGTTCGGCGCTGTACGTCATAGCGCCGAGCATTGCCATGCAGTCGAACCACCCGGGGTCGAACCATCGGGATGAAAACCATGTGTCACATCGGCGACACATTGAGCTGCCTCCTATCGTAATTGAGCATCTCACGAAGCTGTTGTTGAAGACGTTGTTGCTCTCGCCCTGAAAGTGGGCGGCCGTCAGAGCATCGCTTGGCAACAATCAGCCCTGTCGTTACTGAATGCAGTGAAAGGATCAGCACCGGAGCAGCGCAAGTCACAACTTCGATCGCTAGAATGGTGGTCATGCGAACACCCACGACCGTTAGCACCCCACGTAGGGTGGACTTGGCAAGCCTCCACAGACGGCGAGGGTTGCAGCTCTTGGCGAGGTAGCTTTCTTGAGCAGAAGCTGGGTCAACCTCTGACTCCACGGTCGAAGCTGGGTCGTTTTGCGACTCCACGGTCGAACGTGCAACTCCATCTGAGAGCTGCCGCGCACGGTGCAGCATGGGTGCAGGTCGGAGCGCTGGCTTCGATGGTAGCGCCGTAGCGACGGCGCTGCTGCATGCCAGCAAGACCGCGAGCAGCCGCATCATCGCGGTGACTGGCCGGTGGACAGGCGTGACCGATGAGACTTTTGACGCTTGACGCGATGTTTTTTTGATATGCGCGCGCGAGCACGACGGTTACATTCTGCGCGAACAGGTTCGCAGGGTAACTCGGCGGAACCTACCTCGGTTTCGTCGCTCGTCTGCGCCCGTCCAACGCTTGGGCGCGCGCCTACCTTGCCAGGGAAAGAATTCTTTTCCACACCCAACCAAACGCCCTTGGCTCCACGTTGCTCAACATGTCGACCAGCGCCTCGTCGGCTGACGCTTTCTCTGGCGACCCGTCGCGCGCCGCCGCTGCGAGTTTTGCCGCCGGCACCGTGCAGGCAGTGCTCCTCCTCCCAGCCAACACTGTGCAGACGCACATGCAGCACGCTGGACGACCGATGCTGCAGACGCTGCGTGTTATCTTTGCCAGCGGTGGCCTGCCCGGCGTGCGCCTGCTCTACCGAGCACTCGGCCCAACGGTCGCGATGCTGGGAGTCAGGCAGGGGTTCAAGTTTGGGTCAGGCGCCGCGGTCAAGTCGCGGCTGCCAACGAGTTGGCCGGAGCTGGCGCGGGACGCGGTGTCAGGTGGCTCCAGTGCTGTCGCCACCACCACCGTGCTGTTTCCGATCGACACGCTCAAGACGCGCTGGCAGCTCGGCAGAGCGTCGCCGCGGCTGCCGCAGCTGTACCAAGGCTTCACGCCCGCCGTCATCTACTCGGCGTTCGGGATGTCCATCTGGCTCTGCTCGCGGAACATCCTCGAGCGAACCATTCCCGATCCAGGCCGCAGCTCGGCGCTGCAGCACTGGAAGCACTTTGTGTGCGGCGCCGCGGCAGGCCAGCCCTTCTTGCGCCCAGCGATACGCCGACGCCCTGCGGGACACGCCCGTGAAACACGTGCCGATGCCCCCGCAGGGATGATCGTGCAGATTCCGACCTACCCGCTGGACACGCTCAAGAAGCGAATGCAGGCGGCCGACACTCCTCCGCCGCCGCCCTCCCGCCCTCTCCCGCACCCGCACCGGGTCATGCATGCCCCGCCTCGCAGCGCAGGCGGTCGACGGCCCGCCGCGATCCGCGGCGAGTGAGTTGCGGCTGCTCGTCTCGACCGGCGGGCTGGGCAGGCTGTACAGCGGCTTCGGCGTCAAGTGCGCATTCGTGGCGCTCAACTCGGCCATCTTCAACTCGGTGTACATGCAGTGCCGGAGGCTGATGCGCATGCACAGCTGAGAGCCGTGCGAGAGGTGCTGTGTGCCTGTGGAGCTGTGATGAGCGACCTTCATGCCACACGTGTCGGACAAAAGGACGTTTCGATAATGTCTGAATTCCAATTTCCTCTCGAGTTTCGAGTTTCCTCCGCGTTTTACGAGGGAGGCAGCGAAAGCAGACTTCGGCCCAAACACACCACAGCGGTCACTCGGACCGAGTGGCCCGGAGGCCGCGGATGGCCGAGGGCGAGCCGGCGGAGGCGCTGTGCTCCGAGCTGCTGGGGCTTCCCACCGACGCCGCTGCCGCCGTCGTCACGAGATGGCTAGAAAAGCGCGGCATGTCGCGCACGCTGACAAGCTTTGCGGACGAGGCACCCGGAACCGCCCATAGCAAGCACAGTGGTGGGGTGTGCGCGGCTGTGGCGGGGCCGCAAGGGCCCATGCACCGTGCACCGCTCGCGCGGACGCTCGCGCGCGCCGCCCGCCACCTCTGGAGGGAGGCCGAAGCGCACGGCCTCGCACCCGGTGCATGCAGCCAAGAGGCGGCGGCTGAGCGCAGTGTTCCCCCGCTTCAGATGGCGAGTGCGGCTGCGCTGGCTCCTCCCGATGCGCGGGGCGGCGGCGATGCGTCCGCAGGGGTGGGGTCGTCCAAGGCGAGCGCTGCAGCCAGCCCAGCGCGCCCGCAGCAGCGTCACGGCAGCGTCACGGCGCGTGGCTCGGTTTGGGGACGGCCGTCGCGCGCGGGACCGCCTGCCTCGCGCTGCCTTGTGCGGGCGCCGACCCCGCACGCTCACCCTCAGGCGCACAAAGTGGCGCCGACGGCAGAGGCGCTGCCAGTACCCGGCGCGTTGCAGCGGCCGCGCAGCGGCGCCGCAGCGCTGCCTCTCCTCCTCAGACGGACTCGCTCTCCCTCGCACGATCTCCCTCGCAGGCACGTCGTCGCGGCCGGGGAAGCTGTACGACGTGGAGCCGCTCTCGGCGCAGCAGGTGCCGGACGTGCTGCTCACCAAGCCGGACCCGATCTTCCACGGCGAGAGGGACGAGCGCAAGCGCGAGTCTTGCCAGCTGCACGACTTTGCCATGATGGCGCCAGCGCATAGCCGAGACACGCGAATCGAGATGTGGGCGTGAGGTGTGGCAGGCTGCACGCCGTCGGTGCGAAGGCGCGCCGCGGCGGCCCTGCGGGGCCTCTCCCCTCCCCGCCCGCCCGCCGGCCCCCTCTCTGGCCATCCCAGCCCCCCTCCAAAGCACCAGCCCCAGCAGCCGCCCAAAGCAGCGCCTCCAATCCTGGCGAGTAGCGACGTGAGCGGCGATCGCGGCGGTCAGGTGCACTACGACCGCTTCACCTCCGGCCTCGAGTCGGAGACGCACTTCCGCGTCGAGGAGAAGCAGGTCATCGCCGGCCGGTGCGGCGCCGCCGAGCGGCGGAGCGAGCGCGGTCTGCCGCCTGACGCGCGGCTGCGTTGCGCGGCGCAGGTATGTGGTGATCCAGTACCTCGGCAGCGGCACGTTTTGCCACACGGTGCAGTGTGAGGACCTGCGAGCGACGGGGAGGCGTGCACCGCCCTCCCAGCACGCGCCAGCAGGGGGAAGGGGAGGCAGCCAGCCCGGGCCCGCCCAGCCGGCCCAGCAGCAGCGCCCAGCCTGCCCACCAGCAGCTGCGACGCCCGAAGGACGCCGCGAGACGAGGCGCGGCCGCGCGTCGCGCGCAGGCACCGGTTCGTCTGCGTCAAGATTTCGAAGAACACCAAGGATATCTTCGACCAGAACTTGTGGGAGGCGCGCGAACCCTCTCTCGCCGCCTGCGGGCGGCCCTCGCCCGCCTCGCCCAACTCACCCCCCCCCCTCACCCCACGCCCCGCTCCTCTGGCAGGTGAAGCTTCTCAAGCTTCTCGCCTCGCAGATGACGCCGCAGGAGGCGGAGAGGCGCGCCGCCCGCGCGCCCGCCCCTCCCCCTCTGCTTGCGCCCCCGCCCCCCCCCTCTGCCCTCCCCTCTCGCCCATCTGGCGCACACCGATGCGCGGACTTGGGGCCGCAGGCTGCCGCTGCTGCTGAATGTGTTTTACTTTCGCGAGACGCTGTTCATTGTGTACGAGTTGCTGCGCGACAACCTGTACCACATCTACAAGTACATTGAGGAGTGCAGGCTGCCGCGCTACTTCACCGTCGAGAGGCTGCGCCACGTCGCAAAGCAGTGCCTGCTCACGCTGCAGTGCCTGCACCAGCGCGACGTCATCCACTGCGACCTCAAGCCGGAAAACATCCTCATCTCGTCGCTCACCGCGTGCAAGATCAAGGTGATCGACTACGGCAACGCGTACTTGCACCACGACCAGCGCTGCTCCTACGTGCAGAGCCGCGCCTATCGGGCACCGGAGGTCGTCCTCGGTCTCGCCTACTCGCCTAAGGCGCCCCACCCCCACCCCCACCCCTACCCCCACCCCCCATCCCTACCCCAGCCCGCCCTCGCTGCACGCCCCCCCCCCCCCCCAGATGCGGTTATGGCCTATTGGGCGCCTAGCGG